CCTCCAGGTTTTCAGTGCTCTCTGTGTTCCAGTACAAGGATTCACACTGGCCAGGACAAAAAAGGTAGGAATATCCTGGCCATTGATATTGGTGTCACCAAACCTGGAAGAGCGGAGTCTGACCAATGACAACTGGAGAATTTAGGAATATTTCTCTTCACTTTTTTGTTGCATTTCCATGGTGGGAAGGGTGGTAAAATGTCCCTAAAAAGGATAGAAGTTCTGACCACCTTTATCCAAAGTTAAGAGAAGACTACAATTTCTGGGAAAAATGCTTCTCCAGGCATCCTCCAGTGCTGGCAGACTCCTGGGCGTTTGGTCTTATGTTCTCTACCGAAGATTAGCCAATTAGAAGTCAGATACTACCTCTATGACTAAGCCCATGAGAGAGTGAAATGCATGGCTTGGAAGGAGACAACCTGAAGCCGATCTTCCACTGAGCAGCTTATTGGGGCGAGGGTCTCTACCTCTTCCAGTAGGCTGTTTCAGTGGGCTGGGCAAGTCCTGCTGGATGCCGGCACCCAACAGCACTGAAGTCACCAATTAGAACTCTGATACTACCTCTACGACTAAGCCCGTGGGAAGGTGAAACACGTCAGAGAGGCATAGCTTAGGAGACAAGCTGAAGTCTATCTTCCATATATGGTGACTGAGCAGCTATTTGGGGTTCCCTACCTCTTCCAGTGGACTGTTTCAGTGGGCTGGGCAAGCCTTGTTGGAGGCCGGCACCCAACAGCATTGAAATCACCAATTAGAACTCTGATACTACCTCTACGACTAAGCCCATGGGAGAGTAAAATGCGTCGGAGAGGCATAGCTTGGGAGGAGACAAGTTGAAGTCTATCTTCCCTATATGGTGTCTGAGCAGCTTATTGGGGCGTGGTTCCCTAGCTCTTTTGATGGACTGTTTCAGCCAATTAGAACTCTGACACTACCTCTACGACTAAGCCTGTGGGAAGGTGAAATGCGTTGGAAAGGCATACCTTGAGAGTAGACACGCTGAAGCCGATCTTTCATATATGGTGACTGGGCTGATTATCAATGTGCGGCCCCCTACCTCTTCCTATGGACTGTTTCAGTGGGCTGGGGAAGCCCTGCTGGATGCCGGCACCTAACAGCACTGAAGTCACCAATTAGAACTCCGATACTACCTCTACGACTAAGCCTGTGGGAAGGTGAAATGCATCGGAGAGGTATAGCTTAGGAGGAGACAAGCTGAAGACCGTTTTCCATATATGGTGACTGAGCAGCTTATTGAGGAGTGGTTCCCTACCTCTTCCAATGGACAGTTTCAGTGGGCTGGGCAAGCCTTGCTAGATGCCGGCACCCAACAGCAATGGATTCGCCAATTAGAACTCTGACACTACCTCTACGACTAAGCCCGTGGGAGGGTGAAACGCCTCGGAGAGGTATAGCTTAGGAGGAGACAAGCTGAAGCCTATCTTCCATATATAGCGACTGAGCAGCTTATTGGGACGTGGTTCCCTATCTCTTTTGATGGACTGTTTCAGTGGGTTGGGCAAGCCCTACTGGATGCTGGCACCCGACAGCAGTGATGTCGTCAATTAGAACTTTGATACTACCTCTACCACTAAGGCAATGGGAGGGTGAAATGTGTCAGTAGGGCAAAGCTTTGGAGGAGACAAGCTGAAGCCGATCTTTCATATATGATGACTGGGCTGATTATCGATGTGTGGCCCCCTACCTCTTCGAATGGACAGTTTCAGTGGACTGGGCAGCCTTGCTGGATGCCAGCATCCAACAGCACTGAAATCACCAATTAGAACTCTGATACTACCTCTACGACTAAGCCAGTGTGAGAGTGAAATGCGTCAGAGGGGCATGGCTTGGGAGGAAACACGCTGAAGCCCATCTTCCACATACAGTGGGGATCGAAAGTTTGGGCACCCCAGCTAAAAATTTGTATTAATGTGCATAAAGAAGCCAAGGAAAGATGGAAAAAATCTCCAAAAGGCATCAAATTACAGATTAGACATTCTTATAATATGTCAACAAAAGTTAGATTTTATTTCCATCATTTACACTTTCAAAATAACAGAAAACAAAAAAATGGCGTCTGCAAAAGTTTGGGCACCCTGCAGAATTTATAGCATGCACTGCCCCCTTTGCCAAGCTGAGACCTGCCAGTGTCATGGATTGTTCTCAATCATCGTCTGGGAAGACCAGGTGATGTCAAGCTCAAAGGTTTTAAATGCCCAGACTCATCTGACCTTGCCCCAACAATCAGCACCATGGGTTCTTCTAAGCAGTTGTCTAGAAAACTGAAACTGAATATAGTTGACGCTCACAAAGCTGGAGAAGGCTATAAGAAGATAGCAAAGCGTTTTCAGATGTCAATATCCTCTATATATGTATATATCAGACAGAACAGCTCGCAGGATTGTGAGAAAAACAATTCAAAACCCACGTTTGACTGCACGATCCCTCCAGAAAGATCTGGCAGACACTGGAGTTGTGGTACACTATTCCACTATAAAGAGATACTTGTACAAATATGGTCTTCATGGAAGAGTCATCAGAAGAAAACCTCTTCTACGTCCTCACCACAAAAATCATCGTTTGAACTTTGCAAATTAACATATAGACGAGCCTGATGCATTTTGGAAACAAGTTCTGTGGACCGATGAGGTTAAAATTGAACTTTTTGGCCGGAATGAGCAAAGGTACGTTTGGAGAAGAAGGGGCACAGAATTTAATGAAAAGAACCTCTGTCCAACTGTTAAGCATGGGGTTGGATCAATCATGCTTTGGGGTTGTGTTGCAGCCAGTGGCACAGGGAACATCTCACGAGTAGAAGGAAAAATGGATTCAATAAAATTTCAGCAAATTTTGGATGGTAACTTGATGCCATCTGTGAAAAAGCTGAAGTTAAAGAGAGGATGGCTACTACAAATGGATAATGATCCTAAACACACCTCAAAATCCACGGGGGATTACATGAAGAGGCGTAAACTGAAGGTTTTGCCATGGCCTTCACAATCTCCTGACCTCAACATAATTGAAAATCTATGGATAGACCTTAAAAGAGCAGTGCGTGACAGACAGCCCAGAAATCTCTAAGAACTGGAAGACTTTTGTAAGGAAGAATGGGCAAAGATACCTCAAACAAGAATTGAAAGACTCTTGGCTGGCTACAAAAAGCGCTTACAAGCTGTGATACTTGCCAAAGGGGGCAGTACAAGATATTAACTCTGCAGGGTGCCCAAACTTTTGCAGACACCATTTTTTTGTTTTCTGTTATTTTGAAAGTGTAAATGATGGAAATAAAATCTAACTTTTGTTGACATATTATAAGAATGTCTAATCTGTAATTTGATGCCTTTTGGAGATTTTTCCATCTTTCCTTGGTTTCTTTATGCACATTAATACAAATTTTTAGCTGGGGTGCCCAAACCTTCGATCCCCACTGTATATGGAGTCTGAGCGAGTTATTGGGGTGCAGTTCCCTACCTCTTCCGGTAGACTGCTTCAGTGGGCTGGGCAAGCCCTGCTAGATGCCGGCAGCACTGAAGTCATCAATTAGAACTCTGATACTACCTCTACGACTAAGCCTGTGGGAAGGCGAAATACGTCGGAGAGTCATAGCTTGGGAGGAGACAAGTTGAAGTCTATTTTCCATATATGGTGACTGAGCAGCTTCTTGGGGCGTGGTTCCCTACCTCTTCCGATGGACTGTTTCAGTGGACTGGGCAAGCCTTGCTGGATGCCGGCACCCAACAGCATTGAAATCACCAATTAGAACTCTGATACTACCTCTACGACTAAGCCCATGGGAGGGTGAAATGCGTTGGGGCATAGCTTGGGAGGAGACACGCTGTAGCCAATCTTTCATACATGGTGACTGAGCTGATTATCGATGTTCGGCCCCCTACCTCTTCCTATGGACTGTTTCAGTGGACTGGGCAAGCCTTGCTGGATGCCGGCACCCAACAGTAATGGAGTCGCCAATCAGAACTCTGATACTGCCTCTATGACTAAGCCCGTGAGAGGGTGAAATGCATCAAAGAGGCATAGCTTAGGAGACAAGCTGAAGTCTATCTTCCATATATGGTGACTGAGCAGCTATTTGGGGTGTGGTTCCCTACCTCTTCCAATTGACTGTTTCAGTGGGCTGGGCAAGCCTTGTTGGATGCCGGCACCCAACAGCATTGAAATCACCAATTAGAACTCTGATACTACCTCTGCGACTAAGCCCACGGGAGGGTGAAACGCGTTGGGGCATAGCTTGGGAGGAGATACGCTGTAGCCAATCTTTCATACATGGTGACTGAGCTGATTATCGATGTTCGGCCCCCTACCTCTTCCTATGGACTGTTTCAGTGGACTGGGCAAGCCTTTGCTGGATGCCGGCACCCAACAGTAATGGAGTCGCCAATTAGAACTCTGATACTACCTCTACGACTAAGCCCGTTGGAGGGCGAAACGTGTTGGGGCATGGCTTGGGAGGAGACACACTGTAGCCGATCTTTCATATATGGTGACTGGGCTGATTATCGATCTTCACCCCCCTTACCTCTTCCAATGGACAGTTTCAGTGGACTGGGCAAGCCTTGCTGGATGCCGGCACCCAACAGCAATGGAGTCGCCAAATAGAACTCTGATACTACCTCAATAACTAAGCCCGTGGGAGGGCGAAAAGCGTTGGGGCATAGCTTTGGGAGGAGACAAGCTGTAGCCGATCTTTCATATTTGGTGACTGCTCTTTGCTTGTTTTGGGTTCACTCTGATACTACCTAGTCGTAAGTCGATGGATTTCACCCTTTGCCCAGATGTCTGTTAGTATGGAACCTGTTCCGCTGGGGGGGTAGTATTTGGGACCACAGCGTAAGATGATCCCCACTACACTTAGGGTAGGATATCGGGTTTCTCCTTTGGCCGATTTTATTTTTCGAAAGCTCTCTCACGTCGAGTACAAAAAAGAACCTCCACAGGTCAGACTTCTCTGGTGTTTAAGGAGGTGTGCCTTCTGACTGAAACACTTCCCACACTTTGAACACGAATACGGCCGCACCCCAGTGTGAATCCTCTCATGGCGTATAAGACCGGCTTTTAGCATGAAACACTTCCCCGCACTGCGCACACGAAAAAGAAAAAGGAAGTTCGCCCGAGTGACATTTTTTTGGTGTCGCAGAAGGCCTGCCTTCTGAGGGAAACATTTCCCGCACTCTGAGCACGGAAACGGGCGTTCCCCTGTATGAATCCTCTGGTGTCTATGAAGATCTCCTTTCTGAGTGAAGCATTTCCCGCAGTCCGAACATGAGAAAGGGCGCTCGCCGGTGTGTTTTCTCTGGTGTCTCATGAGGTCTCCTTTCCACAGATAGCATTTCCCGCACTCTAAACATGGAAAACTGTGCCTGGTGGTGTGAGATCGTTGGTGTTTAAGAAGTTGCCTTTTCAGGCCGAAACATTTCCCGCACTCCTCACAGGAAAAAGGGCGCTCGCCGGTGTGAATTTTCTGGTGTAGGATGAGAACTGCTTTCTGAGTGAAACATTTCCCGCACTCTTGACAGGAAAATGGCTTGCCACCCGTGTGGAGTTTCATGTGGTCATTGAGACTCCCTTTCTGTGAAAATTGTTTGCCGCACACAGAACACGGAAAAGGCTTCTCACCGGTGTGGACCCTCTGGTGTCTGATAAGCAGCCATTTCTTTATAAACAACTTATCGCACTCCATACATGGAAAGAGCTTCTCCCCGGTGTGGCCTCTCCAATGTATCTGAAGTTCAGATTTTGTTTGAAAGGATTTCCCGCACTCCGTACACAACAATGAACTCCCCTCAGTGGGAACTTTCCGTCGGCTAATGTCGATCGACCACATTTTTGCTATTCTCTGCGCACCTGCCATTGTAGGCTCGCTGATGTTTGACGAGCGAATTTTTCTGAATAAAATCCTTCCCGCAGTCCGCACAAGTGTGTAGCATTTCCCGCGTGTGCGTCCTCTGGTGAAAGATGAGATGGTGTTTCCGATTAAAACACTTCCCGCACTCTGAACACGAAAAAGGAGTCTCGCCCGTGTGGACCCTGTGATGCGATTTCAGGTGAGTGATCTGCCTGAAACGTTTCCCGCACTCTGAGCAGCAGTAGGGCCTCTCGTCCGTGTGTTTCCTCAGATGGCGCACGAGGTGCGACTTGTGCCGGAAGGATTTCCCACACTCCGAACACAAAAAGGGCCGCGCCCCTGTGTGAAAGGATTGGTGTCTCGAAAGCTCGGACCTCCATTTATAACGTTTGCCGCACTCGGCGCATGAAAACGGAGCCTCATCTCGGTGCAAACGTCTTGTGAGCTGCAAGATGTGAACTTGAGGTGAAACATTTTTCACATTGAGGGCAAGGAAACGTCTTATCTTTTGGTGTGACTGCATCTGACTTATCTGAGGAGGATCCTTTTGGATCCAACAAATCACAATCTGGTGGAGTATTCTCACTTTTCTGACATTGTGGGTAGGTGTTTGAGGCAACGATGTGTGATTCAGTAGAAGAAACCATAGGATGAAGGGGACATATTGACCTATTTAGGTGGTTAGGTCCTTGAGTTATACTCTGCATGGCAGAGAATACTCCCGAAGAACATAGCGTGATGCCATTATCTTCTTCAGGGTTATTTGGAAATGGCAGAAGATGTTCTTCCGAGGCGTTCTGGACATGGTATACGTCTGTGTAAAAAGAAATTTGTATTAATGGAGGAATGGAGATGGACCTTTCATATGGTGTCCAGTATCTCATTTGTTGGGAACATGACGTTATATTGAGGAATGGAGATGGACCTTTCATATGGTGTACAGAATTTCCTCTCCTCATTTGTTGCACACATGACGTTATATAGAGGAATGGAGATGGACCTTTCCATATGGTGTACAGAATTTCCTCCTCATTTGTAGGGAACATGACGTTATATTGAGGAATGGAGATGGACCTTTCATATGGTGTCCAGTATCTCCTCCTCATTTGTTGGGAACATGACATTATATTGAGGAATGGAGACTGACCTTTCATATGGTGTCCACTATCTCCTCCTCATTTGTTGGGAACATGACGTTATATTGAGGAATGGAGATGGACCTTTCATATGGTGTCCAGTATCTCCTCATTTGTTGGGAACATGACGTTATATTGAGGAATGGAGATGGACCTTTCATATGGTGTCCAGTATCTCATTTGTTGGGGACATGACGTTATATTGAGGAATGGAGATGGACCTTTCATATGGTGTCCAGTATCTCCTCATTTGTTTGGGAACATGACGCTATATTGAGGAATGGAGATGGACCTTTCATATGGTGTCCATTATCTCCTCCTCATTTGTTGGGAACATGACGCTATATTGGGGAATGGAGATGGACCTTTCATATGGTGTCCAGTATCTCCTCCTCATTTGTTGCACACATGACGTTATATAGAGGAATGGAGATGGAACCTTTCATATGGTGTACAGAATTTCCTCCTCATTTGTAGCACACATGACGTTATATATTGAGGAATGGAGATGGACCTTTCATATGGTGTACAGAATTTCCTCCTCATTTGTTGGGAACGTGACGTATTATTGAGGAATGGAGATGACCTTTCATATGGTGTCCACTATCTCCTCCTCATTTGTTGGGAACGTGACGTTATATTGAGGAATGGAGACTGACCTTTCATATGGTGTCCTAGTATCTCCTCCTCATTTGTTGGGAGCATGACGTTACATTGAGGAATGGAGATGGACCTTTCATATGGTGTCTAGTATCTCCTCCTCATTTGTCGGGGACATGACGTTATATTGAGGAATGGAGATGGACCTTTCATATGGTGTCCAGTATCTCCTCCTCATTTGTTGGGAACATGACGTTATTTCATATGGTGTCCAGTATCTCCTCCTCATTTGTTGGGAACATGACGTTATATTGGGGAATGGAGATGGACCTTTCATATGGTGTCCAGTATCTCCTCCTCATTTGTTGCACACATGACGTTATATAGAGGAATGGAGATGGACCTTTCATATGGTGTACAGAATTTCCTCCTCATTCGTAGGGAACATGATGTTATATTGAGGGATGGAGATGGACCTTTCATATGGTGTCCAGTATCTCCTCCTCATTTGTTGCACACATGACGTTATATAGAGGAATGGAGATGGACCTTTCATATGGTGTACAGAATTTCCTCCTCATTCGTAGGGAACATGATGTTATATTGAGGGATGGAGATGGACCTTTCATATGGTGTCCAGTATCTCCTCCTCATTTGTTGGGAATGTGACGTTATATTGAGGAATGGAGATGGACCTTTCATATGGTGTCCAGTATCTCCTCCTCATTTGTTGTTGGGAACATGACATTATATTGAGGAATGGAGATGGACCTTCCATATGGTGTCCAGTATCTCCTCATTTGATGGGAACATGACGTTACATTGAGGAATGGAGATGGACCTTTCATATGGTGTCCAGTATCTCCTCCTCATTTGTTGGGGACATGACGTCATATTGAGGAATGGAGATGGACCTTTCATATGGTGTACAGTATCTCCTCCTCATTTGTTGGGAACATAATGTTACAGTAAGGAGGGGTATACCACTGATATTAGACCTGTTTATGCATTTCAATACTCACCTGTGCTGATATCTAATGAAGACTCCTTCTCTTTCATTGTCACTATCAATCCAACCTCCTCCATAAACTGCTGACCACCACTCCAATGTGTCCCTTCTTCCTCTTTAACCCAAACTTTTATATCCAAATCTTCTTCACACTAAAGAAACACAGAATATTAAATGAAAACAGCGAGTACAAAAAAACTTATACTACATCATCATAACTGGAGAATATTTTGAATCCGAGAACCCCATCTACCTGATGATGGTGAGGGATGGTGTGACCTTCTTGTGTGAAATCCCGGGAATACAGAGGACGGGGACATCTCTCTGGTGGGTTTCTGTAACTCAATGGCTCCATAATTGCATCTATGTACAGATCTTTGTATCCTTCTGAAAAGTCCTCCATAAAACCATTAAATTCTGGATATGGAGAAAGAAGTCTCTTCGATGTATTCGACACGTCCTGACCATATGCTGGAAAGAAAAAAATAAATTCATAGTAGAAACATGTTCATTCTTCATATTCTGCAATCAGGAGTTAAATACGTTAGTATAATAGTAGTGGTATTATATAGCTGTGACGTGAGATTTGATGCAACCATAACACCAACACAAGATAAGTAGATAAGTGATCAGACAAAGTGTACAATGCAACCAAACCAACAATGGTGCCCTGAGTCATGGTATATGTACACTGTGAGCAATACAGATGGTCCTAGCTCCACTTCATTCATTGGAAACATGATATATTGAGAAATAGAGACATACCTTCCATATGGTGTCCAGTATCTCATTTGTTGGGAACATGATGTTATATTGAGGAATGGAGATGGACCTTTCATATGGTGTCCAGTATCTCCTCCTCATTTGTTGGGAACATGACATTATATTGAGGAATGGAGATGGACCTTTCATATGGTGTCCAGTATCTCCTCCTCATTAGTTGGAAACATGACGTTATATTGAAGGAATGGAGATGGACCTTTCATATGGTGTCCAGTATCTCCTCCTCATTTGTTGGGAACATGATGTTATATTGAGGAATGGAGATGGATCTTTCATATGGTGTCCAGTATCTCCTCCTCATTTGTTGGGAACATGACGTTATATTGAGGAATGGAGATGGACCTTTCATATGGTGTCCAGTATCACCTCATTTTGTTGGGAACATGACGTTATATTGAGGAATGGAGATGGACCTTTCATATGGTGTCCAGTATCTCCTCCCTCCTCATTTGTTGGGAACATGACGTTATATTGAGGAATGGAGATGGACCTTTCATATGGTGTCCAGTATCTCCTCCTCATTTGTTGGGAACATGACGTTATATTGAGGAATGGAGATGGACCTTTCTGATTCTACATTTAGTGTTTATTAATTACCTGTCTCCTCCATAGACAGCAGAGCATCTCCTGTGTAAACTTCTTTTTCTTCTTTACAGTTTACTTTCACATCAATCAGGTTCTCATCCTAAGTCCACAAAAATGACAAGAAAATAATATCTATGAATACAGAAAAGTTCATAATTATATACAGGTTGAAGTCTTTCTTGACTTCCAGCTTCTTGGAAATACCTGGTCTTTAGGTACGATGCTGTGGTCCACCTGTGTGGAATCCCGGGAATACAGAGGACAGGGACATCTCTCTTTTGGGTTCCCATTACTGGATCCATCTACCTGATGATGGTGAGGGATGGTGTGACCTTCCTGTGTGGAATCCCGGGAATACAGAGGACGGGGACATCTCTCTGGTGGGTTCCCATGACTGGATCCATCTGTAGGAAACACACACACTGACTGAATCCATTGTTTCTATGTGTTTATCAGATGATGGGGGATCTAGATGGAGCCTCCGTACTGCTCTCTCCTTTCCAATAAAGTCTCCTCTTACCCGGTGATGTGAGGGGCGGCTGATTGTCTATCATGACGTCCTTGTAGAGATCCTTGTGTCCTTCTAAATACTCCCACTCCTCCATGGAGAAATAGACAGTGACATCCTGACACCTTATAGGAACCTGACACACACAATGATACAGTCACCATCCAGACACATCCCTTGTCTGTTACTGGAGAATGTCCCAGAATTCCCGGCACCGCTCACCTCTCCTGTCAGCAGCTCCATCATCCTCTTGGTGACTTCTAGAATCTTCTGCATGTTGTGTCTCTCAAGTTTTAGGGAGTCACATGGAGGCACTGTGATGGTCATATGATCACCTGACTTCAGGAGAGGAATTCTCTGTATTGAGGAACCAATAGAAATATCATGTTAGATTCCCAGAATCCTCCTCACCTCTCCGGTCAGGTCTGAGTTTTATTACTAGAATTAAGAATGATGTCATGTGACCTCCCAGAATCCTCCTCACCTCTCCGGTCAGCAGGTAGATGATTTCCAGGGTGAGGTTTAGTACCTTCTCTATTGTGCGAGTTGGATCCTCATCCATCTTCAATGATGTGGTCATGCAAAGGATGTTTTTTCTCTGTACAAAGATAAATGGTTCTATATTTAGGACGTATCCGGTCTATAAACCAGAGGCTCTGGATGGACGGTTGGATAAATGGTTCTATATTTAGGACGTATCCGGTCTATAAACCAGAGG